TAACCTTTTAAAAATATAAATCCTTGAAAAAGGCAAGGGCATGACATTAAATGGTCACTGGTGAGGCATTTTACAGGCTTCTTATTTGCTGTGATTCATGTGACTTGCTTCCTGGACATGAAATGTGACATGTTAGTAAAACATAGGGAACCTAAATGCATGTAAGGCCATTTGTCCCTCAGTCTCCACTGCTCACATGTGTTGTTTCAGCTTTGCTTTTGGCAGGGCCAGTGTGACAGATGTTTAAAAGGCCTCAGGGGCGCCTGGGTGGCGCAGTCGGTTAAGCGTCCGACTTCAGCCAGGTCACGATCTCGCGGTCCGGGAGTTCGAGCCCCGCGTCAGGCTCTGGGCTGATGGCTCAGAGCCTGGAGCCTGTTTCCGATTCTGTGTCTCCCTCTCTCTCTGCCCCTCCCCCGTTCATGCTCTGTCTCTCTCTGTCCCAAAAATAAATAAACGTTGAAAAAAAAAATTTAAAAAAAAATAAAATAAAATAAAAGGCCTCATAGTCTGGGGTCGTTGATCCAGGATAATGTCATTGTTTTTATGTTTTTAGGTTCCCAACCTTTACTGTGCATAGGAATTGCAAAGAATGCTCATTTAAAATATATATTCCAGAGCCACGCCCCTGAAAGATTCTGATTTAGTTCATCCAAAATGAGGCCTAGCAATCTGCATTTTAATAGGAGCTCCAAGTGATCCTGGGGTGGGTGGCCCTCACTTAGAGAAACACTGTTTGAAGTCAGATGAGTTGATGTCAAAGTTATGAAACCTGAGGAGTATTACTTGTATTTTTGCCTCTGAATGGAATGGAGCAAAGGGTTGCCTTTGGATACACCAAAATATTTTTTAGAAAGAACTTTTTATTTGCTTAAGTGTTTGGAGAAGTAACAAGAACCCAAAATTTCTTTCATAAAGGATGAAAAAAAATTTTTTTTCCTTAAGATGTATCGTCACCGTCTTACTCAGCGTGGGCTATCAACAAAGTACTATAGACTGGGTGGCTTAAACAACAGAAGTGTTTTTTTTTCTTATGGTTCTGGAAGTTGGCAGTCCAAGATCATGGTGCCAGTATGGTCAGGTTCTAGTGAGAGTTCTCTCTTCTGACTTGAGGTAGGGAGAGAGTGAGGGAAGGAAAGAATGTGAGAGCTCTCTGTTTCTTCTTCTTCTTCTTCTTCTTCTTCTTCTTCTTCTGCTTCTGCTTCTGCTTCTGCTTCTGCTTCTGCTTCTTCTTTAATGTTTATGAGAGAGAGAAAGGCAAAGAGAGAGAGAGGTACACAGAATCCGAAGCAGGCTCCAGGCTCCGAGCTGTCAGCACAGAGCCTGACATGGGGTCCAAACCCAGAAACTGTGAGATCATGACCTGAACCAAAGTCAAAGCCTTAACCAACTGAGTCATCCAGACAACCCTCTCTGTTATTTCTTCCTACAAGGGCACTGATCCCATCATGAGGACTCTGCCCTCATAATCTCATCTAATCATAATTACCTTCCAAACCTCTCAAAGGCCTCATCCCCAAATGACATCACACTGGGGTTCGAGCTTAAACATATGGATTTGTGTGAGGACACAATTCAGTCCATAGCAGTCAGATATTACCAGACATCCCTATCAGCCAGAGCGTGCACAGGGACTTGTAAAGCATCTGGTTTAGGTCAGTGGTACTCCAATGCTTTTACAAGAAAGAAGGCCCTGCACAATGTACCCTTGCAGTGCTGAATGAGTCAGGCCATTGGGTGGGGATCCGAAGGTAAGAAATGTCTGGAAAAATGATTTTAGTGTTAGTATTACTAAAGTGAAGCATTCTCTTCCATTCACCCACATTTCTTCCTTATTTCTCATGCTAGAGGAGATGCCCTGTCAAAACTAGCTGAGATTGGAGCCATGTTTATGAATTGTGGATGAGTTGCATTCAATGTGGCTCATACCATTCCAGATTAATGAAGCTTGTCTTAATACTGTAAGAAAAGTTAAAAAAAGAAAGAAAGAAAGATACTTGCTATGTGGATTTACCATGAAGTAGCATTAGATCAGCTCTTTTATTTTGAAATAGCCGTATAATTTGTTCTAATTCAGAAATATGACTTCACACTTAACTCAGTGTTAGAATGTTTTAAAGACAACATCAAAATGACTCATGTGACTTGTGTTGTATAGTACTAAAATCCCACGTTTCAGCTCAAATATACAATATGGAGATACTGGTTCTTAAAGAGGGAGAAATTCTAAGAAAAAAACTTTCGAGTACTAAGCAATGCAAAGAAAAATTCATTGAAGTATCATATTCTGGTATTTTCACATCAACTCTTTGGGGAGAAAAGGTGGGGTTTTTATAAGTGATTTTCTTTTTAGATAGCAATCACTAAATAAAGAGACGTTTCCATTAAGAGGTAGCACTTTAATAATGAGTTTATTTCCCCAACGATAACCTGAGTAGAGATTGGAATTCTTCAGACATATATACTCTGCATATATATTCTGTATTATAGAAAATGTCAATATATTGTCGTTGGTAAGCACAGAATTCATCTTTTATACCGTATGGAGATTCTAGACATTTGAAGAGTTCCAGTTTGTAGCTTCATAGTATAAATATTAACCTAATGAAGTCAGTACCATTAATAGTAATAAAACATACTCAACTACTACAATGACAGTTTTTACAAGATTTGTTTAAAACCCTTGTCATAGTTTGGTCTTGAAACAAAGTTTTCTTCCATGCAGTTCAGTGAATGCTATTTCCCAGTTCTTGTCCACCTAAAAATCATCATCATACCAACACACACAGACACACACATATATACACACAACACCCCCACACCCAGCTTTTCACTTCCTTGTCTCCTACACACACACCACACACTCACAACCTCACTCTGCATGCTACCCTACACAACATACATCCATATCCCACTAATATGGCATTTATTTAGCTTCAGAAAGATTATAATGCAATGGTTGCCAATATGTACATTTACTTAAAATTTTTTGTCAACTAAGGGGTTAAAATAAACATCCAAAAATGAATTTTATTTTTTAGTAAAAATAGTCAAACTGTGGTTAAAACTATTCAAAAAGTGCAGAAGGGTATAAGTGAAAAGCAAAAATCTCCCTTCCCCTATGGCTCCTCAGTTTCACTGCTCAGAGCCCAGTATAACTATGGTTAAAAGCCTCTTGTATTGCTTTCTAGAAATTGCTACAAATACATATATATGTATGTATATACATATGTGTACATAAATGTGTAAATTTATAAAGGTGTGTATATAAAAATGCTATATTTATTTAATTTTTAAAAGTTGATCACCTGACACTAGTTGAGCAGTTAGAACGGGGTGCTAGTCATAGCCCTCTTGCCCTTGGAGTTAACAAGCCTCTCCGGACCTCTTTGGATATGTCACCTGTGTAGTCCCAGGTTTGCCTGGCCACATTCCTTTGGTCTCCATATGGGAAACATCTGCTGGTGCCTTCTGTGTTTCTCTCTTGGTTTGAGGCCGGCAGAAGTGAGAATTGAGTAGGGGCTGGTAGATGCCTCTGAGTTCTCCTGTTCCCTAAAGTCCACCCCCAGACTCCCAGGGAGAATAGAGTCCTCGCTAGTTAGTTTTCAACCCCTGACTCTGTGAATACTGTTTTATCAATGGTGGAAAGTATTTCTGGAATATATATTATAGAAAGAAATCCTTTTTTCCCCAGCCATTCACTTTTAACTTGTCATTCTTATTTGCCTTAAAAGTGGATAATGTGGAAAGAGTTTCAACTGGTACTTTTGGTGCAACTCATACAGAAAACAAAAATTACAGATATTTTAAAGGAAGTCGATCATAAGAATTTCAGTCAGCAAGAATGTTAGAGCTGGGTAAAGATGTAAATTTGTACTTAGAATAATAGCCACTGAAACATTAAAAGTAATCACAATGTTAAAAATTATATTGTTTAGCATCATTTTTCAGAGACTTGAAACTTCTAAAAAAGATTTTTGTTTATGTGCTCATGAGAAAACTCTGAAGCACTTTGTAAATTTCCATTTTACACCTGGGGTAAGGAAGTCCGAAGAAATAAATTTACCCAGCATCACAGAAATCACAATGTGAACTCAGTCACTGTACACATCAATTAATGAGATCATTTTCATAGTGCAACTAAGTCTCAACAAATGTGGTTGGTATTTGGATTTTGTACACATTGTTCCGGATATACTATTAGTGCCCAGTTGCTTTATTCATAAAATAATAGTAGTGATTTTTAAACCATAAATCATACCATCTCCTTTTAGTTCAAACAGGCAATTATATAGTATTGGTAATTAACGGCTCTTATTACAAAGTCACAGACGTTTTCAACAAAATAAGTTTTAGATTGATGCTTTAATTTTATAATTGCTAAATCTTGCCTGTGTCATTGAAAAAAAATGAATCTCGTTTTTTTTTGGGGGGGGTGGGGACAGGATACCCTTAAGAGAAAAAGATAACAAAGATCCTGAAAGATCCTTGGCCTAAAGAGTAGGCTTTTATTCCCCTGTCAATTATTTTATTTAGTTAAAAATATGCAATGACTTGAGAGGATTCTTCTGGCCTAATTCTTGAAAAATTTACTTTCTTTAGCCTTAAAGTCTAGTGCTTTGGTGCCAAGAACCTGCTAGGCCTTCATTTTCAAGACTTTTAGGACCAGTACGGTTATTTATACAAGGTCCAATGAGTTCCACCTGTACCAGGGTCTCAAGGGAGGCACAGATGTCTGGAAATTGTTTATATTATTGTTTCTTCTGAATGCCATGTTCTACTGAACAGGAACCCTCGTTGTGATAGATAGCCAACTCCTCTCTGGGTTCAAGCAGCCCATATTAGGTACAGGTGTAAATTTCAGGCACGTTGCTTAGCAACTGACCGAGCTGCCCGCAGGTCACAGGTCTGCTGTAGGTGCTGTGTACTTGAGAAGGGCGAGGTATGAGGAGGAAGCACTATGCCCTAATAGTCTACAGTTGTTTTTCATTGCTGCTGATTAGGTCCATGGAGGGAAGCCCATCTCTGAGGCGCAAGACAGTGATGCGGGAGAAGGGCCGGCGCCAGGCCGTCCGGGGCCCCGCTTTCATGTTCAATGACCGGGGTACCAGCCTCACAGCTGAGGAAGAGCGCTTCCTCGACGCTGCTGAGTACGGCAACATCCCCGTGGTGCGCAAGATGCTAGAGGAGTCCAAGACGTTGAACGTCAACTGCGTGGACTACATGGGCCAGAACGCGCTGCAGCTGGCCGTGGGCAACGAGCACCTGGAGGTGACAGAGCTGCTGCTCAAGAAGGAAAACCTGGCACGAATCGGCGACGCCCTGCTGCTTGCCATCAGCAAGGGCTACGTGCGCATCGTGGAAGCTATCCTCAACCACCCCGGCTTCGCAGCCAGCAAGCGCCTGACCCTGAGCCCCTGTGAGCAGGAGCTGCAGGACGACGACTTCTATGCTTACGACGAGGACGGCACACGCTTCTCTCCCGACATCACGCCCATCATCCTGGCGGCGCACTGCCAGAAGTACGAGGTGGTGCATATGCTACTGATGAAGGGTGCCAGGATCGAGCGGCCACACGACTATTTTTGCAAATGCGGAGATTGCATGGAGAAGCAGAGGCACGACTCTTTCAGCCACTCACGCTCGAGGATCAATGCCTACAAGGGGCTGGCCAGCCCAGCGTACCTGTCCTTGTCTAGCGAGGACCCAGTGCTCACCGCCTTGGAGCTCAGCAATGAGTTGGCCAAGCTGGCCAACATAGAGAAGGAGTTCAAGGTAAGCTCTGTGCTCCACCCTGGCGACCCTGCATGCTCATCCACTTCCTGGCTGCTGCCAGATGGCTTCCATAGTCTGCTCTGGAATCAGTTTTGCCCAGTGGATTTAAAATCACAAGGGATGTCATTCAGAAATGACCGATGATTTCCACCTCTAAACATGGTGCCGTGATAAATTTGCTTTGGGGATGGGTATATACTGGATCTGAGAGCTATAGTTATGGTGCTGCTCTGTGTGGGTGAGCATTAAGTGGAACGCAAGACTTCTCCCCTTTGATTAGAGGAGGAATTTGGTGTGACTTTTTTCCTCCCGTATCCTTCCTCTTTTATAGTTAGTGGTATGGTGCCACACGACACTGAAGTGATATTGGTTTTGCATGTACTGTTTATTGGCCCAAACATCTGTATATGCCTTTAGGTAGAAAGAAGACTAATGTGGAATATGATTAAAATAATTTTATTAATATGACAAAAATGTCTCTCCTGAAATCCACAAATGTATATTCAGAGTGGTGAGCCATAGACCTCAGGTCAACCCAGAAATACAAGGATAGCAAAGTGTTTTGCATTAACGGATTTTTTTTTTTTTTTAATGAATGAGCCTTTTTTCTGAACATTGTTTCCAGTTAAGTGGTATTATTTTTTATAAAAAATTAATGATAGAATATTTTAATCTTTTATTCAATTACTACATCCTCCTATGGGTTTTGGACGGTTCTACATATTAAATCTGGGGCACAAGGAGATTTCATGGTTCTGGTGAAAGTCAGCGTGTTTTTCAGCAGGTTCTTGTCTCCCGTTGTCCACCTAAGAAGATTATTGTAGACATCAGTTCCTTAAATTATTTTCTGGATGCTGAGTTAATCTTCTTTGTAGCGTGGTGTCAGATCACAGAAAGTGATTATTCTCTTTCAGATCTTATTACAGTTTTTCATACTTACGTGAGGTTTACAAAAATGCAACTAGCAATATAATTCAAGTTAAGGGGTTGCAAGAAAATGGTTTAGGACAAAGAAATGAGCTATTAAGCCATGAAAGGACATGGGGGAAATTTAAATGCATATCATTAAGTGAAAGAAGCCAATCTGAAAAGGCTACATAGTATATGATTCCAACTGTATGACATTCTGGTAAAGGCAAAACTGTGGAGACAGTAACAAGATCGGTGTTGCTAGGGGTTAGTGGAGAGGAGGAATAAATAAGTGGAGTACAGTGGATTTTTAGGGCAGTGAAAATAATCTGTATGATACCATGGTGATGGATACATGTCATTATACATTTATCCAAACTGATAGCATGTACAATTCCAAGACAGAACGCTAATATGAACAATGGACTTTGTATGATTACAATGTGTCCATGAAGATCTATCAATTGTAAGACATGTACCACTTTGGTGAGAGATTTGATAATGTGGGAGGCCTCTGTACCTTCCTCCTAATTTTATTGTGAACCTAAACCTGCTCTAAAAAAAAAAATGTTTTTTTAAAAAAAGATGTTAAAAAATGGTAGGAAAGTTTTGCATGTTTTTTTTGTTTGTATGTTTCCTTTTCCATACATACCAAATTACCTAATCATAAACCCTCATCTTGTCCTGGTGGATCTCTGACCTTAAGTATAATTTTGTTATTCCATTAAAAATTTTTCTGATATAAAAGCTACACGTTTATTATAAAAATTTTGGAAAATGTGGAAAAATAAAAAATATCACCTTATATTTACTCTCTTTGAAGAGATTCATTATGTGATATTTGAAAAGATGAATTTCCTTGGAGTCAAGATGAGTTATTCTTTTAGACAGGACTCAGAGAAAATGGAAAATTTCAAATTCTGTTTAGAGAAAATAGAAAAGCATTAAGGTTAAATAGTTGTAAATATCACTATTTTGACAAAGTAATAAAAAATGTAATTCTAAATTTATTAGCCACTATTTCAAATCTCATCAAAACCTTGTGGGGTTTCTTTGTTTTTGTTTTTTTGTTTTTTTTTGTTTTGTTCTTTTTTTTTTTGCATTTTGCTTGATATATATTGAAGATCTGTAAAAGAGATTTTACAAAAGGGAATTTTTTCTAATATTATGCTTTAATAATTTATAAAAGAGGCTAGTGTTTGCAATTCTGTGTAGAGAAGTCATCTTCGTGAAGTGATAGTTAAAAAATTTGTTGTTCATATTTTTTCCTGAAGCTGGCTAGGTCTGTATTGATGATACTTTGAATCTCCTTTACCCTCACTTAAAGAGTCACCTCTGATAACCTTTCAAATGTGGGAAAATGTTACAAGAGGCAAAAATAGGAGAAAATACTACTGAGTTAAAGAGGGCGTCCATGAAGCTGCCAAGTGTCTAAGGATCTGCAAAGATCATCTGAATCTCACAGTTCCTTTTTCTGATCTGTACGGAAAGTACTCGTGTAGCATAACCCTCTCTGACCCTGAATATAGATGGTTCCTCAGAAGTTACAGTTTCTAAGGACGACAAGTCTTCCTCCAGACTAAAGGTTGCTTTTCTTTCCTGTTCCTGCCTGTCCTTGTTATTCCTTTAGTACCTGCTTTCCTTTCATCTCTGTGCCCTCTCATCCCACGCTCCTGTCCATCAGTCAGGGCTTTAGACAGACAGAGAAAATAGTGCTTTCACGGTGCTGACCCAGAGACTCAGCTTGGAAAGGGCAGTGGAAGTGAAGCTCATTTCTGAGGCAAACAGATAACCTGATTTGCCCTATGTTCACTGTATTCTTTCCATAGAGAAAGAGTTCAAAATATGAGATCAAATACTAGCCTTGAAATGAAAAAATATGTTCCCTAGTGAAAAAGAGGTGATTTTTTTTCTTTTTAGACACCTGTATCTATTTTATTTTATCAATGGCCTGTAAGATCTAGCATCTCACCCCTCAAATCGCCATCACTTAGGTGCATCCGAGAAGGTTCTTAGCCAGTGTGCAGTTTCCAAAGTTCTTTGAAGAATGCAGGAGGCATGGTGCCGAAAACATATGAAGGTCATTACCCCTGAGAGGTTGAAAATTCTAGGATATAGATTTAGATAAATTAATGGAGGACGGCTTGGTGACAGGTTATTAAGGAAATAGTTTGGATGTGTAAATGATGTCTGAAGCTATTCTGAGAAACAGAATATTGGACAGAATGGACTCTAGGTCTAATCCTCCAAATGTCAGTGGCAAGGAAGCTAGTCATTTATTAAGCTGTGAGAATGCAAAGTGAAATTTCTTAATTCTGAGTCAATAATGCACTTTATTTTTTTTTTAAAAGGGCATTTGCCTTCCTTGTGCCTCAGTTTTCTTCTCTTTAAATTAGAAAAGCAATTTTAATTTACATCATAGTAGGGCTGTGAGGAAGAGGTAAATAAATATAACCAAAATCACTACAGCAAAAGCAGGATGATACTCTAGGAGTCAGCTGGTTGTATAGACCTCTTATTTTACAAATGAGAAAACAAAAGCTATAGCCAAGGACCCATCTGCTAAGCCTAGATTTAGGTGCCTTGGGTCCCAGACCTAGATATTCTATCTAACGTGCTGTACCTGATAACATGGATGTATTTTTATAGTACCTCATGTGTACCATGCTCTAAGCAATTAATCCTCCTAGCAGCAATATTAGGTTGGCTTATTCTCATCAGAGAAGCTAAGTAAATCCCACAGGATCCTACAGCTAGTAAGTGGTGGAAGAAGTATTTGAACCCAGTAAATCTGGCTTCAGATTTCTGCTTTTAAGCACTACACTAGCCTGCTCCTTTTGTTATTAGGGAAAGGATCTGATAGAACAAAGCCTGCTTAGAGTTGAATTTCAATTTTTGTTTTATTTCAAAAAAAATTTTAAAGTTTATCCATTTTTTTCCAGAGACAGAGACAGAATGTGAGGTGGGGAGGGGCAGAGAGAGAGGGAGACCCAGAATCTGAAGCAGGCTGCAGGCTCTGAGCTGTCAGCACAGAGACTGACATGAGGCTCAAACTCATGAACTGCAAGATCATGACCTGAGCTGAAGTCAGACACTTAACTGACTGATCTACCCAGGCGCCCCTCAATTGTTCTTTTAAGGATAAAAAGGGATTGAGATGATAACTACAAACATTAAAATAAGTGTGCTGAAATCTGTAGACAGGCTGCCACAGGGACCAAGCATCATTGTTTTTCCCCTGGCTTGAGCAGGTCCTCAGGGTTTTGAGTTCCCGCTCTGTAAAGAAAGTAGCAGGGCCATCTGGTAACTTTGTGGAGAGCCATGGTATTGGAAGAGTGGCATGATGAGCATGATTAAGCAAAACTAAGAGAAAATTACTAGAAAATGCAGATCAGACAAATGGTCTGAGTTGTGAAGGAACATGAGACAGGCCCTCATGGTAGAACTAAAATAGTCACCTTGTGGTGCAGTGCAGACTGTTGCTAGTTTCCTTTGCAACTGAGAAAAGCTGTCTTTAGCTGGAGCCCTCCATCTTTCCCTGGGATCCCCACATATATTGATGAAGTGGTATCCCATGACCACAATAAAAGAAATTCTCATTATCTCCAGCTGTGATTATTTTCCGCACTTGGGCAATACACTTCTTCGAGCAGGAAATGTTGACATTGTTAGGAAGACAAAGTGTTGTTTTTGCAACTTGTATGATTACCAGTTTTTGTTTCTTGACTGATGTTTCAGTGGATGTGAACAAACCACACGACTTTAAGATGAGACAGTTTATAGATTATGATTTACAAAAAAATTAATGTTTATTTTTGACAGAGAGCGGGAGACAGAGGATCCCAAGTGGGCTCTGTGCTGACAGAGAGACACGCAGGGCTCCGACCCAGAAAGTATGAATTAGAACTGAGATCGTGACCTGAGCCAAAGTCAGATACTTAACTGACTGAGCCACCCAGCCCAGATTATCATTTTTAAAAACAATGAATTATGATTTATGTATTACTACAGAAGCAGTTATTAAGTTTCTTCAAGCATTGAAATAGTCTCTCTTTTTTCTGATCAGTGAAGAAATGGTCATCCAATGTTGCTCCAAATCTTATAGAACAGTCTGAACTGAAGAGTAACATGAGGAAATTTCATCTAAAAAAAAAAAAATGTGTTAAAAGGGAAGCTTTATATGGAAACAGACATGGATTTAATACTTCTGGGTGCTATAATAAAATATTTCATTAGTCTTTCAGGAATGAAAGTCAGATGGATATTTAACTGACATTCTGCATAGAAACCAGAGACTGAACGTTTTATTAATTTTATCAGTTGCATGGTACCAACTTGAATGGAAACCAAAGATTGAAGTTTTATTCATTTTATTCTCTTATTAGGGGAAAAGGATTAACTGTAACTGTTCCTTATCTGAATTTCTGATATCTGAAATGGAAACTATTATAGTCTATGTAGCCTTTAAACAGTCTTTCTTCTTTTAGTTGGTGATGTGATTTTTGCCCATGAAATCAATTGTGTATTTGAGGGAAAAAATTCAAATTGTTCATGTCTTTTTTTTTTTCAGTAGGATTTTGGGAAGCCCAGAAATACTGCTATCCTAAGATTACTTAGTTATTAGACATTTACAGTATCTCAGAACATATCGAAAAATTCTATTTTCCTCAAGTGTGCCGAATTAAATTATCATCTGGTTAACTTTCTTAATGGGCTAAAACTTAGTGAAAGCCTTAGAGGTGGAACTGGGGTTTCTGAAAGTAAGATGCTTTCCCAAGAGATGGTCATTGATACCTTGACTGGAACCAAGGGGCCAGAAATAGAACTCCATTCAGAAGGTAACAGGAAATGCTGCCAAGTGACTTCCTTATACCAGTCCATGGCACTATATAAATATGCTAATGAAATTAAAGATTCACAGATTATTTTTAGCAAAGTGTTAGTTCCAGTGGCCTGGAAATTTTCTCTCAGGTATTGGTATTCTGCAACCCTTGAGAATTCAATTACATTTAATCAGACATTTCTCTCCTTCCAGTTCTGCAGGACATGATAATGTGCCCTTCAGACAAACAAGGAAAAATACCTCCTCTCCAGGTTGGCTCCTGTCCATCTCTTTACAGTCACTATAAACCAGTCATCCTCAGATGTAAATGTGTATCAGAAACATCTGGAGAGCGTGTTTACACAGATTGCTGAGCTCTTTCTTCAGTTTCTAAATAGGAACATCTGAGATGGGGTCAGAGAATTGACATTGCTCACACATGTCCAGGTGCTCTTGCCGCCGCTGGTTTGAGGATTACGCTTTGAGAAGCTGGGTCCCCAGCAAGGCAAGGGATGGTATAAACTGAACAAATGATTTTCACATATAGTCCATCTTGTATATCAGATTGCTTCCTTAGAAAATTTGCCATTTAAACCAATTTTCATAACAGGAATTGTTTTGTTTCGGCTTTAAGGAAACTATTGTTTATCTGCATAAGAGAGCCTGAAGTCTTTTTGATCCTTTGCTCTGTCAGCATTAGCATTTAGCCAACATCTCTTAATACAAGCCAGGGACCAACGTGCATACCATTCACAGAGCTGTCTGATATGGTTGGGTTGCGGAAGGTATCGGCTAAGAGGGTGTATGGGGGCAAATCCGGCCTGTATCTAACCGGCAATTCTACCCAGAAGAAGGGACCTTTTTTTGTAATTCGCAAAAACTCTAAATACTTTTCATTGAATTAAAACAGACTCCTTGAATTTAAACCTCTCATTCTTAGAATGACTACCGGAAGCTCTCCATGCAATGTAAAGACTTTGTAGTGGGTGTGCTGGATCTTTGCCGAGACTCAGAAGAGGTAGAAGCCATTCTGAATGGAGATCTGGAATCAGCAGAGCCCCTAGAGGTACACAGGCATAAAGCTTCACTGAGTCGTGTCAAACTTGCTATTAAGTATGAAGTCAAAAAGGTAAGTGGCCTACTTTTATCCAGCACCATATCAACTATGCCATAATCCCAGGAAAATTTTTTAAATAATAAAAATAAATGTTACTGATAATAGATTTTTTTTTCTTCATGAAAGAGATTGAGTGAAATGTGGTTAAGTTGTGAGTCAAATATCTAGCTTCTGTGATCCTTTCCACTTTTTGTCTGCTGCAAGACCTTGAATAAGTCATAAACCTTCTCTAAACTTCAATTTTCTCCTATAAAAGGAGGATCATACCTCTTACCTGTCTCAGGGTTTTGATGCAATTTCAGTGGATTAAGACATGCAAAAGAACTTTGTGAACCACTCGTGATGCAATTAAAAATAATAAAATGTTATTTGTATACATTTTTGTAAGGCACTGTTACACTGTCATGCTAATCCTTGTGACAAGCCTATGTTATCCATTTCACCTATAAAATAGGTAAAATAGATGATGAGATTTCTTTTCTACAAGGAAACTGAGGTTTGCCAAACTTAAATGTTATGTCTAAGGTCACACAGCTGTGAATACCAGAAATAAGATTTATGATTACTTTTTTACTCTGGTATTTCAAATAAACTTAAGTGTATGTATTTGCTGCTTGTATGGGGCTTTTAAATAATCCATGAAAATTGTAGCTATGATGTTTTACTGTAATAAAAATCTCAGTTATCTAGAATCTAACAGCTTTTATATATTAGATAACTAATTATACACACACACACACACACACACACACACACATATATGTTGTATTTTAAGAGAAACTGATAAATCACTAAAAGTAAGCTGTTAACAGGAATAGATCTGGTTTTATGAACTGGTTAATCATGTATCACTGAATGTTCTGTCCTCCGTACATGGTGCTTAAGAGGGCAGGCCCTGGAGCCAGTTTGTAGGGGTTCAAGTCCTGAGTTAACCACGTGTTCCCTGTGTGACCATGGGATAGTCACCCAACCAGGCCAAGCCTCGGCCTTCTTATTAGTGAAGTAGGGACCACAATAGCAACTACGTTTTCAGTTGTTTGATAATTATAAGAGCTAATGCACATAATTAGCACGGGTATAGTACATGGTGATTATTCAACATGTATGAGCTAGTAACATTTCTACATTATGAAAATTCATTCTCAGGATGATGACTCTTAAGCAAGTTTAGCTTTAGTCATCAAACACAAATTTCATGTTCACTGTGTTTGTTCCAGTCCATTGTAGCAGACTATAGCCAATTTAGGCAGAAAGTAAGGGATATGAGGAGACTCACAGATTCACGAGGGGAGGTGGAAGAACAAGCTTATCTAAGCTGTGCTTCCAGAAACCTTACTCAGAACCAGGCCCAGAACTGAGGTCTGCACATGTGCCTCTGACCTGTGGAACCTAGGCATGTACTGGCACCCTAGCAGTAAGTGAGCATGAGGAGATCTTCCTCTCTTTCCTTTTCTCTCTTTGTGTGTGTGCACACTCCATAAAGTGGAGAACTTCCACATCTAGTGTTCACAAGGTTTTAGCCAGCTATTAATCACAAATCTCTCCTCAACTTAAAAAGACAGGGAAATGTGAAGATTCTTAGTTAATACTGATGTAAAATAACTTTTCAAGGAATTATCAGTGAAAAGTAAATTGGCTCGACTGCCTTCCTCCTAGAGCATTTCTTTCTTTCTTTCTTTTTTTTTTTTTTTAGTTTTTATTTTTAATTCCAGTTAACACACAGTGTTATATTAGCTTCAGTGTATAATTTAGGGATTCAACACTTACGTACAACACCCACTGCTTATGAGGAGTGCCCTCTTTAATCCCCATCACCTATTTTAACCATCCCCCCCACCCTCCCCTCTGGTGAACATCAGTTCTCTATAGTTAAGAGTTTGTTTTTTGGTTTTCCTCTCTCTCTTTTTTCCCTTTGCTTGTTTGTTTTGTCTCTTAAACTGCACATATGAATGAAATCATTTGGTATTTGTCTTTCTCTAGAGAATTCTTGCTAGTTGAGGTTTTGCTATATTGAAGGAAAAAAGATAATACTGAATAAGATTAATATTAAACCATTTTTAGAAAACTGTCTGGACATTTATTCACAAATCTTACAATACACATCTCTTTTCTTTAGCACCTGAGAGGAGAGAATTGATTTCAGTTGTCACTGGTTCTTTATCATTGCTTTGAAAGTGTCATATTAGCAGAGACAGCTCATCTGTAGATGGGCTTCTGTGAACCAAACTGTCTTGAGACAGTGAATGTCTTCCTGGCATGTTAATTTTAAATAAATTGATGTATAGTTTATTATGTATGAGGTGTCATTAATAATAAATTTGCTATCAGTCAGCTACTGCCAGGAAACAACAAAAAGTGCGTTTGAAACTGAAAGGATGTTTAGGGCTTTGCAGGTATTTCTGGGTTCATTTGTTTTGTGATATAAAGGGAATATTGATTCAAGTTTTTGACTTAGAAGCTTCACTCAATTAATGTATATAAAAATTTATTCCAGAATGCCCCCCAAAGCCCCACTTCCCCCTTTCTTTTTCTCTCTCCAAGATGTCCTTCATTCTTCACTCAACATTTACATGTCTCCATTTAGCAAAGAGAGAAGATGCCCCATCCCTGCTGGTGCTTCCTTTTTCCTTTATCTCATTTCTGGTTCCTAAGTAAAACCACTTCTTGGGTTACAATGATGTGTGAACCCTACCCACTGTGACACTGAGGTAGTCTACAGCTACATGCAAGGCATTGGGATTTCAAAATATATGTTATGGAATTTTTCCCTCTTGATAACATAATAAATTTATATTCAAATCAACTCATAATTCCACCAAGGAAACTAGTTTTTTGTAATAGCTGTTTCCCATAAGAGACTCAAAGTCTCTTTTGCTATGTGCTCAAGATCTCCTCCCAGCTCTGGGTCTGGGATTACTGGCTTCTTTCTGGCCTCATAGTTCCCAGAGCTCAGTCTTCCCTGGGAATCACACCATGAGGTCTACCCAGGCCTTAGAGAGCTCGATGGCAGTTAGTCAAGAAAATGAAAATATAGAAGACCTGAATGGGAGAGATCTGAACATGAATTTAATATTTATGGGAGAAAGAACTTTCTAATATGAAAGCAGTTGAAGAAATAACAAAGCAAAAGTGTAAACAATTTAACCACATACAACTTAAAACTTCTGTACACAGAAAGATCATAAAAAAGAGCAAAGTGAGAAAGGTATAATTTCTCAATTCTGACTTATCAAGGATTGATAATCTACAAAAAGCTCAAACAAATTTTTAAGAAAAATTTCTAGAGCCCTATAGAAAAATAAGCAAAGGGCATGAATAGGCAATTCACAGAAAATTTAAATGGATAGCAAGCCTATTTAAAAATTTTAAGCCCTCTAATAATAAATGCATCCTAATATACAAATACCATTTCCCCTTTCTCAAATTATTAAAGAATAGAAAATTCATACTCTCAGTTCTGTTGGTGAAATGGGCAATCTTATGCGACTAGTGGGGAACAAATAATTGTTCTCTATCAGGGAATGGATGTTACAGATTATTCATCTCAGAATCATTTCTGAGGAGTTTCTAAGGTAAATAATAAAACTGGAAAGATAGTAAATTTTATTACTGTTTGTAGAGCTACCCATGTTATTCTACAAAAGAGAATGGAATAGATCAAAAGATGAAATTTTTTGAAATGAGTACAAGAAAATTAACTTTTAGACGACAATGTTATTTTCCCGTTTGAATAATGGATTATTTACCTTTCCCAAAAAGCTCTGAGTTTTTTTTTTTTTTATGTTCTAATTTATTTTTGAGATAGAGAAACAGAGCATGAGCATGAGCGGGGGAGAGGGAAAGAGGGGGGGATGTACAGAATCCAAAGCAGGCTCCAGGCTTTGAGTTGTCAGCACAGACCCTGATGTGGGGCTCGAACCCACGGGCCATGAGTTCATGACCTGAGCCACCCAGGCACCCCTAAAAGCTCTGTGTTTTAATTCTGTCTTTACCTCTGTCTTCTCTGCAACTTGAGGATGAACATCAATCCCTTCCCTCAATAGAAATAATGAGAGCTTTACTAAGCTATTCTAAGAAAGTCCTTGACAAAGATAAAGGATACTAGAAGTTGATAGACTATCGATCTGGAAAACCATGCTGTTGAGAAAGAGAATTTCCTGACTTCTTCTTTGCTCTCTTATTTTCTCCATGGTGGGATTAGATTTAACTATAAAAATATCACCTAGAAAAGAGACACATGGTGGTGCCTCGGTGGCTGTCAGTTGAGTGTCTGACTTCGGCTCAGGTCATGATCTTCCAGTTCATGAATTTGAGCCCCACATTGGACTCTGCTGTCAGCATGGAGCCCTCTTTAGATCCCCTATCCCCTTGTCTCTCTACTCCTCCCCTACTTGCACATGCGTGTGTGCGCTCTCTCTCTCTCTCTCAAAACATTAAAAAAGAGAGACTTGCAGCAACATATACACATAAAATTATCCACTATGAATGAAGAAAGTGTGGTTTCCTTAATTCCAAACATTGAGCAATGCAATGAGAATGCTAAATATCCTGCAGAGACCTTGGGTGCGGTGCAGGTGCTGGCCAGCCTGTCCTGAATCCCACACTGTATAGCCTCTTGGCCAGGTTTGTGCCCAGCACTGAGAAAGAACAGAATATTGTGCACTCAGTGGGTTCAAAATCCAGAAAACTTACACACTGTAAGTTTTCAGTTTATATTTCACAACTCAAAAAGCTTTAAAAAGAAATTGAATGATGTAGCTTTTATTCACAGCAGCATTTTAAATTGTATGAACTGTGCCTTCAACAATGTCATTAAAAACAAAAACAGAGTGTTCCTAACATGTTTTTGTACAACAGTATTTCCATGAAGATAGTTCTTGTAAAGGGTGATTTGATAATAAAACAATGTAACATGAAATTTTTTTTAAGTTGAAAATTATCTCATGGTTTTCCATTAACCTGCCCTGATTACTGGTTCAGTTTACAATCTGTTAGTCATTTGGCACGGGGAAAAAAATGTTTGTTCTCAATGCTACAATAGTTTTGTTCCATTGAAAGATTGAGATTTTCTTATGTGTCAAGCATTCTCCCGTTAAATCAGAACACCTCAAATAAAGGCATTATTTTTGTAATGATTTCAATTTGCTGGTCCACTGAAGTTGGGAAATAGCATACAAATTTTATCCAACTGGCTATGACTGGAGTGACAGCACAAGAGGTTTTTTTAGAAGGTAAACAATTTTAAGAGATAAAGGTCACTGCCCTATTTTGAAGTCATTGAAAAGAGAAAAACTCATCTCCTAGAGGGATTAACTCTTTTGCCCTCACTTGTTACTGTTGTATTGATTTTATTATTTTTTAAAAATGTTCCTTGTGTACTTGCATTAGGATTTTAAATTATTAGAGGAAAATATCCATTTGTATTTTCTTGTGAATTGAAAGGAATGAACAGATACCATAGGCTGGTGTATTACTATCTCAAGAAGAGAGTAGAATTAATAATATAGGAAATATACCTTTAAGCTGAATTTTAAAGTGTGACAAGTAAACTGCAAACACCACAGTTTTGGCTAATATTTAACATATATTAGGGTTTTGTACTATATTGTACAAGTCACAATGGGTCAAATATTGATCATTATATAATACCATATGGGAATGATTGATTTCCACCAAGTCTTTAAGGGCTGTATAACCCTTATACAATGTAATTCATGCCATAAAGCACATCTTCAAAGTTGAAGATTAACTGGAGGAGGAGGAGCAAGGAGAGGAAGCCATATTGCAACATTAATATTTTTGTCCTTAAGAGATTAAAACCTAAGAAAGAAAGGCCGGACACTCAAAAGGGAAATTTGTCCATCAATTTTACATGGGTACACGTCCACCTGTCTCTTAACTTCATAGGGATTTTCTGTCCTGCAGAAAGTCTTGGCCTATAAAAAAGTGCATGTTGACTTCCTAAGCGACAATCTGATTTGATGACATCATCTCCACTGTAGATTTCTCTGAATGCACTGTTCCCCATCCTAAGCTGAGCCTAGCTGGAGTCATAGGACTGCTTTTTATTTGCATCTGTCCAAATGTAAACCCTCCAACTTTCAAATTAGTATTATTTTAGTTTTTTAATGTTTATTTATTTTTGAGAGACAGAGAGCACAAGTGGGGTAGGAGCAGAGAAGGAGACACAGAATTGGAAGCAGGCTCCAGGCTCCGAGCTGTCAGCACAGAGCCTGATGCAGGGCTCGAACCCACAAACCGTGAGATCATGACCTGAGATGAAGTTGGAGGCTTAACCGACTGAGCCACCCAGGTGCCCCTCAAATTAGTAATATTTTAAATGTTGATTATTTATCTTGGCAAGCATAAGAAGTCTGTCTCCATTTTTTCCCCACATTTATGGAGAGCTTACTGTGTGCTGTAGAACAGGAATCCCTAATCACTTAATGTGCACTGATGCTTCCATTTTCACCTTCTTCTACCAAGTGCCTAACAGAGTGCCTGATTCATAGGAAGAGCTTACAACATTTTGAAGAGTGAATGAATGAATGAATGAATGGTACATTTAGGAACTCAGAGGGGATAAGGATTTAACACAGAAGGAGGGGTAAAGCAGGAAGGAAATGATTCAGTAGAGTACAGGGGCAGAATTGGAAGTTTGGCAAAGTTCTCAACAAGAATCCTAGAAAGTGGTCACAAAGATTCCAGGGCTTTCAACCTTGATCATATTTTATAATGGGTTCAAATAATGACTGTATCGATCAAAAATCAGAACTTTGAAAGAGTAACAGAATCTTGAGTCTGGAAAGGAGTTCTAATACAGACTTAGCAGCTAGCAATGACCAGTGAGCTTTAGGACCTGGGACTTTTATAATTGAATTGAAAGAAACTTCTAAGGTAAAATCTGCTTTTTCACATTGAACTCATTAAGCTAGAAAAGATAGCATCCTCTTTATAGTACTTTAAATCTCCCAAATCCTACCAGTTTGTATTGTTGAAATAAGTTCAGTGAAGTACTTCAAATCTAATATTTGTAAATTCATCTTACCACTTCTGTCAGCAGGTGTCAAGAGCCCCTTGTGCCCTGTGGCACAGCAGTCACCAGAGTGATCATCAGTGGACTTCCCGGAGGGCGATGCACATATAGGGGCAAAAGTGGGGGGTTAGGGGAAATTGCATCTCTACTGTCTACACTAGGGGATGAGGTTTTATTTTTTTAATTTTATTAATTTTTTTTTAATTAGAAGAGCTAATGGGAAACAATACACCAGTAAGTGGAAACCCATTAATTTCCTTATAGGTGTGGTATTTATTGGTAATTAGCCGAATAACTTGAGGAATTGCCTGGAGTTGCTAAAAATCATTAAGATCATTAACTAGAACTTGATCAAAGATGAACCCTTCACATAGTAGGAACTGGAGCTGCCTTCCTTGCCTCTAAGAGTTTGTAAAAAAACATTTCATGAGTGCTTCTTAACGGGTTCATTGTTATTGTTCTGTTTTTCAGAAGATAATGATACCTTGATTTTTGCGTTGCTAAACACTCTTTAAAAATATATGTAAGCTGGCACTCATAGTTGATTTGTGAATGACCCTGAATAATCTCCAAGCTTGGGCAAAGTGCACCTGGCCATTCAAAGACAGGCATATTTAGCCACAAAAGGGCACCTGTTAGGGTAGGGACCTTTTTACATGAGCCTGACTACAAATACATTTTGCTACCTGAACAAGGACAGGACTTTAGCGAAATCCCAGTCCATCAGAATAGATGCTGGCAGACGACTTAGCAAAGTCAGATGGCAAAATAGAATAAAATGGCAGGGCTGAAGTAAGTATAATGTGCTCAGTTTTCCTGGTTACAATTGTAATTATAAAAGAACTGTTGGAGATCATTTTTTTTTTTAACCTGTGATAGAGGCAGCAATAAAAAGAGGACAGATTACTGAAATAGGAAGGAAGGGACATTTGCTGCCAGGGCCTGGACACAGTGTAAGTGCGAACCAAGCAGAATTCTTGCAGATTCATTGGCTTTTTGCAGATCTTTGCAGTTTGCAGTTATAGTACATACATATATGTATGTATATTTTTCATACATGTAGCACTTTAGGAATTACTTATGAAACTTAACACATTTCTTTTTTTAGCTATAGTCTAATACAAGCCAATTCTTTTCCATTTTGAACTGAACATAAGTAAGCTGGCAGACAACAAGATGGGACACATTTTCACAAAGGAAAGCATATGTCACCCAGATTATGGACAGGAATCTGTGTATTATGGAGAATTTCAATCAGAAAGAAATGTGGTTAAGGATGATATCAATTTTGTGCTCTTGTTTCCACTTAAGTACTATTAGTTCTGAAGCAGTTTTGGAAAATGGAGGGAAGGTAAAGGAAAATATTACCAGAACCTTCTAGTGCCTATATTCTGGAAAAGTGTACATTAATATCTTTAGGATTATGCATTCAGTAGTTGAGGTATCCCTAATGATAGTAACCTACCTCTTTCTCCCCCTCTCTTTCTGCCAACAGTTTGTGGCTCACCCCAACTGCCAGCAGCAGCTCTTGACAATCTGGTATGAGAACCTCTCAGGCCTGCGGGAACAGACCATAGCTATCAAGTGTCTGGTTGTGCTGGTGGTGGCCTTGGGCCTTCCATTTCTTGCCATCGGCTACTGGATTGCACCTTGCAGCAGGGTACATGTTTTTCTACATCCATTTCCTCCGTGGTTGGTGTGCCGTGTGTTTTGGGGATGAAGAAGGAAAAAGCTTCCTACTTAAGGCTCTTATCAGTTTTACCCTGAATGTTAATGGACTCAGGGACACAAATTCTGCTTTTTAATGACTGGATCAATTCAAATAAGAGATGAAAAAGGATTTGGTACTAGTGGAATAGATCACATTTGAAGGCATATAATACTTAGGCTTTTAAGGTAAAATCCGCATGGTGGTCAAGAGGGAAAGTGCTTGGTTCGCACTTACACTTTTGCTGATTCTGTGGACAGCTTAATAAATCAAGAGCGTCAACTGAGTTGGCCTGCGTTTAGAACAGTCCTGTTGCAGTGGTGCCAAGGAACTGAGAACTGGAAGGGCAACTCACTGGAACCTGTCAAGAGATCTGAGGTTCAGTGTATCAAGCACAGTCACGAACAGTGGTGTTAGTTTAAAGAATTCAAGAAAGTGCATGCCAGGTTCCCCCCAACCCCCTGCCCTTTGTTCCTTCAGAAGATTCTTAAAAAAATAAAAATAAAAAATAAAAAAAAAAA